AGTAAAGTCTATTAAACAACAAAACAAAACCAAAAGCCTTTGCTGGAATTGCAACTTCCTGTGTGTTAACATGCTCAGCAGAGCCTAACAGCACTGCTTGCAGTATTGCATGGAGCCAGACTTCTTGATAGAATTTGTGCTCAATAAGCTCTAGTCAAACAATAATTGTAGTTTATTAGTACCACAGTTTAGTAATTCTTCATAATTCACAAGCTTCTAGTGAGCTGCTCTGCTCTACATTAAAAATAAGAATCTGGATTTGCATGGTATTTGCTCCTAAGAAAAACAATTTTGAATCAGTCTGTCGTCTGTTAGGAGCCCTCCCCCAGCTCACGAGAGGAAGTGAAGCACATTTTTTGGATTATTGATCTTGGACACCACCTTATGTAAGTAATCACACGATCAAACTTTTGATCTCATTTTTGTTATTAAACTAATGTTTGATCTGGTGTGTGTCAGTGTCATTACATCTTACAATAAAATAGGAACTATAATGGTTGTTCCTTAACTAAATCGGGATTATGTGTGAAGTGATCAAATGACAGTAGTAAGATTTACTGCTGGAAGAAAAGTACCTTCACTAAAATGTTCTTGTGCTAACACATACAGAATCCATTATGACATCTAGATCATAATCTAGATCAAAAAGAAATATGATTACCGGGTGATGCAGTCTTCCGCCTGCTTCTCATTGTTCATCTTGTGATACACCACAGCGCCCACCGCCAGGGGGCCCGCGTCCCCGCACAGGAAGGTGATGGAACGCTTGGTCAAACTGTTCAGACCTTGCTTTACGTAGCCGTGTGCCATCTGTAGGTAAGCAGGGTCCCCGAACACATCATAGAGATGTAAGTAAAGCACAGAGATACCTGAAAAGCAAAAAGAGAATAATGTAACGATGAAGAATGGGCCACTGTTTTATTTTGGTTTGCTGCCAACTCAGCAGTGTTGATTGTCGATAAGCCATAACACATACATAAGTAAACTCTCCGGAAGTTTAGATGACCTTAGTTCTAGACTCAGCAGCTCTAAGAACCAGACAAAGGCACTTGCTCTGCTTCTTCATCATTGCAACTGTACATAATAGGAACTCTGAGATCATCTCTGAACTCTAACCTAAGTTTATTATTAACCCTTGCTGCACTCTACTGTGTGTAAATGTATTCTTCTTGATGGTTAAATGACAGGTTATCAAAACTATATTTCTAATAGTCACTTCTTTATTTAACATATAATCATTTACTTAATAAGTAAACAAGTAATACTTGTTCTTGCGAGCTACAGAAATTTAAAGACTAGGGAGCGAAAAATTCAATTTCTCTTTCTATGGGAAGGTAATTTTGTGAATGAGAAGGTAGGGACAGTAACCAAATTCCCTACTCCAGTATCGTTCCAGGCAGGGATTATAAAACAACTACTAAGTTATTTGAGATCTGAGAAAATAAATTCAATTCCTCCTTAATTTCTTTTCTCTGTCAAGGACTCTGCTACTTGAGAAATTATACTGTAAAAACTGCCAATGACTTTTGCTTTGGGCCTTCCTCGATTTGCTTCTTATCCTTCAAGAGAAGCCTGATATATATATATATAATTGAGGTGTTGTCTGAATGCCTGTCACAGTAGATAGAGCCTTCCCTCTGAAGCCGATTGGTCTCAGGGCAGAATCAAAGATGTGGAGTAGAGAACCTACCTGCCTGCAGCATTTCCGGAAACTTATTTCTCCCCTTAAAGTACATTTTCCATCTCATTTACCATTTTTAGAAGATACAGAGCCTCTGTTTAAATCTAAATTAATAGAGCCAATCTCTTCATGGATTTCAGTGCAGTAAAAATGCAGTCTGCAAAATTACTTTTCACTGTACTGAGGACAATTTTAAATTTAGATAGTTTCTCATTTTGCATGGGTAATCTCCAAAGCTTTGTGCTACAGACAATTCAATTTCACATGTATATTAAGGCCAAATTTTCATTTCCTGCCTAAGTTAATAACCTTGTCTGCTCTTTCAAAGTGGCTTGGTGTTAGGAATTCCACAAGCTGATGATCGGATGTACCAGTGCTGAAGGTCTGCAGACGTAAGTGTACAAAACCATGTATGTAAGAAAAGAAAATCTCCTTTTCACAAATGATCAATGTCAAGAGCTTCTTCTGCAATTAGGTCCTTAAATGGCTTCATCTCCATCCACACAAGGCATCTGCCGGTGATCCATTTAAATTGTTACCCTTTCATTTTGGCCTCCTATTCCCATTGCTGCCTGAACTCCCCTAATTGAGTTCTGTAAGCACTGCAGCCAGATAATGACATGACTGAAGTCTGAGAAAATAGAAAGTGATTAAATACAAGCCCAATGATTGTTTTCCTTTTCAAACTTTTGTCTCTCATTATCAACAATTCCTCTTGGCCAAAATATTTAACAAGCAAAACCCACTGAAGTTTGCAGTGGTAAGGTTTGATGCATTTCTCACGAAAAACAGGTAGTCATTTCTCCATTCCACCATATTTCATTTAGATGGAAAACTTTTTTTCTTTTTGATTAGCAGAGAATTCTCTTCCTGGGTTCTGTTCCTCTCCTTCTCATTCTGGGCCTCAGCATCCCTGTATTTTGGTTCAGCGATCTGCGCCTCAATTTACGGTGTCTACCTCCTGTCACAAGACACCCGTGGATGAAAGGGTTTCAAGTGAGGAGTGTTGCTGCCAATTCACAGAAGTTTCTTGTATAAACTTACTAGAAATGAGTCTAGGTCCAGAAAGTAAGACAAAATGTGTAAGTCGAAGACATTTAATGACTCATCAATTCTGTGTACCCCAGATGACCCGATAGAAAAAATGGGGGAACTGTGTGTGGCTAAATGTCTTAAACCCGATCGTTATGCTCTCCCAACCTTTAGCAATATGCATGCATATAACATCACCTTTGCATAAATACTGAATGCTGAGAGATAACTAGCAAGGCGGGAAATAAAGACACAAGCTTGAAGGCTTGGCAGGGAAAACTCACCCCAGTCCCCTTACATATACCTGCAACCCTGGCCTCAGTCTATGCTTTAAAAAACTTTTCAAATGTTAATTTTTATAAAAATAAGTTTGTTATTCATGGAAAAAGTCAAATGGTACTGCAAGGCTACTATGCTTCTCATCCACTGAGATATTAATATGCCTCTAGGGCAGGGCCAGGTTTGGGAGGGAGGACTGCAGTTGTATCCATTCATAAACTCATCCCCAAGTATGATTTCAGCCTGTAAATGACATTTAATATAATGAGAAAGAACATTCGTACTGGCTTCTAGGATAACAACCATCCAAACTGGTCATGAGACTCAACACAGGATGATATATGGAGCTTAATCTTTTTAATGTTTCATTTTTCTTTTTATCACAGGATGTGCCACTTAATCAGAGTATTTGGGGCTTAAATTTGAGCAGCGGATAAAATTTCATTCTATATTGTTCACTAAGCGAAAGGCAGGATAAAGGAGATTTGCTTCCTTCTTCTACCCTTTCACCTTTTCTTCCAGAACAGAAAAGACTAAAGTCAGACGTAAATTTTGATTGCATTGGGGTGCCTGGCTCAGTTGATTAAGCGTCCCACTCGATTTTGGCTCAGGTGATAATCTCACAGTTTGTGGGATCGAGGCCTGTGTGGGGCTCTGTGCGGACAGTGGAGAGCCTGCTTGGGATTCTGTTTCTCCTCCTCTCTCTCTGCCCCTCACACACTCACTCTCTCAAAATAAATAAACATTCAAAAATAAATTTTGATTGCATTTAGTTGTAAAAATATACTTCAAATAGTTTTAGATATTAGAATTACTTTATAGAAAGGAAAAAAAAAAAGGTGCCTGGATAGCTCAGTCAGTTAAGCATCCAACTCTTGATTTCAGCTCAGGTCATGATCTCACTTTTTGTGAGTTTGAGCCCTGTGTCAGGCTCTGTGCTGACAGTATGAAGCCTGCTTGGGATATCCTCTCTCCCTGTCTCTCTGCCCTCCCCTGCTTGTGCGTGTACTCTCTCTCTCAAAAATAAGTAAATACACACTTAAAAAAAGAAAGAAAAAAAATAAAGCTGCCCCCTGCCCTTAAATCTGGAGGGATTTTGACATCTTCATTGACATAAAATTGATGTTAAAATATCCAATTTCTTAGCTGGTCCACTCTCTGATAACTACTGTCATTATTAGGCTATGAAAACTAATGCTTTTTTGGTCTGAATTTTATTGTCTTGTTAAATTTGCTCATATATATGACTTAAACTTATTGACATATTCTAAATGGGAAAATAATCCATATGAAGAGAGATACATTAAGAAATGAATAAAGCAAAATCTAATCCATTATTTGCCCATTAATCCCAAAGTCATTAAAGGTGACCAATAAAGCATTTGGGATAACTAATAATCCTGTTCAGAAATGAGTATTCTCCTTCAGGAACAAGAGATTATTGCTACTCTGGTTGGTTGTACTTCATTTCCTATAGGGTATAGGAAAGTTGTAATAGGGATACCCCCTCTATTTTACATGCAAATCCAGATAAATATAAGATCAGGAAAAAAATCATTCAAGTACCTTTTAGAATCAAGCATGTGAAGTCAGTAAATGCTTTAGATATGGCAAGTGCATTCCTTAGTTATTCACAGCTTTGGAGGCTGGGTTGGTAGAAGAAGCATGGACAGAAGTGGGTAGAAGTATTCCCTCCATCCCAGGGTGAAAAACAATACCATCAAGGAGAAGGAGGTATGATGGGGCGTGGACCACAAGGGGAAGACTGAACTGGAGCCAGTGCATGGTACTCCCGGAGAGTGGAATTAATTACCTGAGAAAATCCATGTGGATGAGAAGGCTAGGAGATGACATGGTTAATAAGGACAGTTTCCTTGGGGGTTCAAATTAAAACCAGACATAGAAATTTAGGTTTGATGCTAATCTATGATTGGTTTATGTTGAGGAGTAGTATTTTTTTAAAAAAGGCATTTTTCAAAGGTAACCTGATGGGTTAGTCCAGGCCCTCCAAGATGGGACTGAACATGCAGGACTTCGTTAGGGAACTGCATCCTGGACACCTACCACATGAAGAAAACACCAGCAATTACACGCTTTGGCTTGAAATCACATGCCACTTCCACCTGCAACCCCTGGACTCGAAGAGGTTGCCTCACGTAACTACACTGAAGTTGAGAGGTTTAATCCTCCTAGGAGTCCAGAAGGAGAGGGACACCAGATATGGGTGGGCACTAGGCACGTCTAACACAGGACATGGCAGTGGGGAAGAGGCAGAGAATGAGCCAAACCTGTACAGTTCAGGTTTGGGATGTTCACTAGACATCCAAGCAGAGAGGTCAGATAGGCAGTTGGATGTAGGAGTCCAGAATTCAGGGGAGAGAGGCTGGACAAATGTCCTCCAAAGGTGTGGGGAATCATGTGACTACTAGAGTAGTCAATGATTCTCTGATGCACTTCAGGAGCAAGTGGGCTGCAAGATTCATCAATCCTATGTAGGCAGGGGTTGCTTTTAACTAAAAAAAAAAAAAAAAAAAAAAAAAAACAAAACAAAACCTCCTTTGTGGTCTGAAAGGCCAGAAGTAGTCCAGACATACACTACTTTGAGCTTACAACTCCTAAATCTTGTCTGGTTACTTATAACTGGGGGGCCAATATGACAGCTTCTAACCGTAAGTGTCTACACAAATTAAAAGTGAACAATTTACAATAAAGTGTCTCAGTCACACTAGCCACATTTCAAATGCTCCAGAGCTACAGGTGGCTAGCAGCTGCCATAATGGACAACAAAATAACTTCTCTATCACTGCAGAACGTTCTAAGGACAGCACTGCTCTGAACACCAGAGACAGATGTCATTCTGCATAAGAAGTTCAGGAA